TTTCGCGTTTGCTATGAAGTTAGCGGATTCCTTGCATATATACTGAATGAAATTTGCACAAAAAACTCGCAGAAATTTATTCTATGTGCTTCGCTGCTTCAATTTTTGTACGTCATTCAGCAAAATTCACAAATATAATATTTGAATTTGTAATCTGCAGGCGATCAACTACTACGAAGCAGCGCTGAAAAGTGGGCGTAAACCACTGATGCGTATGCGCTTGGCCGAATTGCTTTTTGAGCTTGGAAATTACGAGAAATGTGAAAAAACGCTACGCCATGCGCTCGATGCTGATTCCAATCCTGTTGGTGTGCTTTTATTTTACTTTATTTTTTCTTCCGGTGTAAGAAATGAAAAAGAGGGAACCGTAAATTTGTGACTGAAACAGAGAATTAGAAAAAAATAAATTTCTCTTTAGAATCATGGATTCTTTTTTGAAATTAACAGAAGTAATGTATCAGTTACGAGCGTGGCGTAAAGGGAAGCATCAGCTATTTTGAACATTCAGTCTACTTTCCTGTCGTACTGTTGTAAAGTAGATTGAAGGTTCGAGTTTGCCGGTGATGACTGGTCCCTTTAAAATTCGTTAATTCGACTCAGTGGTAAAATGATAGCGGCACGTGCTAGGGACTCAAATTCCCTGTCGGTTTACTTGTGATCAGTCTTCGAAAGAGGGAGCCATCGACAACCATGTCACTGAATGACTGCTGCTGGTATTTGCTGCAATTAGGCTACTTCCCGAAATCTCTGGTTCCTATAGAAAGCGAATGCGAGAGCTTCGAATTTTGACTCGTTGCATCAAGACAAGCTTTTTAAACTTAAATCAGCCGTTAGGAGAACCAAACTCACTGCCATTAATTTGTTTCTGTAAAAAAAGTGTTGCTGATGAGTGTGTTAATCATGCTATCAGCAAGTCAAATCGCCTTCAATTTAGTGTGGAAGCAACCCATGGAAAAGGGAACTGTCGGCAGCCATGCCACCAGTGAATGCTGTTAGCCAAGTGTAACCTGGCTACTTTAGAAACCTCGTCCCATGCAGGAACATTGTCGGATCCAGGGAGTGGGCGAGGGGTTTCCCGCCCCCCCCCCCTCACAGGAGCTTAATTATTAGTTTTTTTACTGTACAAAAGTGTGCTCGGTACCCCCTGTTCTCCCCTCCCCCTTCCTGTCGCTCAGGGACCTTGTCAGTCTCA